CCTTCGGAAACCTTTTCGCAAACCTTTTTAGGTTTCCGGAAGGATTTCCGAACTTATGTTCAGTTTCTGACAATACCTTGAGGGTTTCCGAGCATCCGGAAACCAATGGATTTTGGAGAGAGTGGATTCGGAAACCCTCAACCGTATTCTCGGAAACCGCTTTTGCTTCGAAAACCTTTTCGGATACCCATTGCGTATCCTCGCATACCTTTGGGTTTTCGATATTTTTTTATCGAAAACCCTTTTGGGTTTCCGGGCATCGGAAACGGTCGAAGCGTTTTCCAGAAATCTAGCAAGGTTTCCGAACATAACTGGAAAACCCCTTAGGGTTTCCGAATGTTGCGAAAACCTTTGAGTTTTCGAGAAAAAGTTTCGAAAACCCATTACGTAGTATGCAAAACCCGATTAGCATTCCAATATGATCTTTTTTATTCTCATGTTCTATCGTGTGATTTTCAGGTAAAGCGGTGCTCGATATGCATGACATAAACCTTACTTAATTTGTGTGAAGTTGCTTTGTAAAACATAAGAAATCTGAGAAGTGTAAAAGAAGGCCTTGTTCCCAAAAGAATTCTAATTCGTTTTTATATTTCAAATAGCCTAAAATTTGGATGTATTATGACACATTTTAATGTGAAAATCGAGGAGTCTTGCTAAATTGGATGGTCACTATATGCCCTCTAAAGGCATCGTAGTCAAGCGATTTCGTGCCGAACTTAGGTTTTTCTTCCCTCGTTATACTATGGACACATGTTCACCAATATGAAATTCAGATCAACGTTAAGAAGTTAGATTAAGGGTTACAATAAGCGGACAGATATACATTAAAGAGTTAGAATAAGACCACGAAATAAGACATTACAAACAACGAGTTAGAATAAGGGGATACACATAGATTAAGGACTTAGATTAGCACGATACATTTAGGGATAGATATAGATTAAGGAGTTATATTAGAGGTTAGAATAAAGGGATAGAACAAGAAAGTAGAACAAGGGGACAGATACAGATCAAAGAGGAACAAACTGATTTCCGATTTCTAGTGATTTCCATGATTTCTGACGATTTCGAGTTAGAGGAAGTCCGCTACCGTTCCGTTGCCAAATAACCGGTAACGAAAAGTTTGTGAGTTTCATTTTTTTGTGAGGATAAGGCTATTTTCAAAAAATAACGATTTTCTATAAAGTTTAATCAAAGGTTATCGAGGTCCAGGAATTCGAATCTATAAGTCGTTTTACAAAATTTGTGAGTTTCAGTTTTTTTGTTAGGATAAGGCTATTTTCAGAAAATAACGATTTTCCATAAAGTTTGACTAAAGGTTATCGAGGTCGAGGAATCCGAATCTATGAGCCGTTTTACAAAATTCGTGATTTTCAATCTTTCGTTAGGATAAGGCTATTTTCAAAAAATAACGATTTGCTATAAAGTTTGGCCAAAGGTCATGGGGGTCCAGGAATTCGAATCTGTGACTCGCTTTTCAAAATTTATCAGCTTGATTTTTCCGGCCACTGAAGGCCTATTTTGCAGAAATGCGGATATTCCCATAGAGCTGGCAAAACTATGAGAAATTGCTTCACCCTGACAAGAAAATCGAAACTCGAAAATTTTTCGAAATCACTTATAGATTTGGATTGCTCGACTCCGATAGCTTCCGATCAAACTTTATACGAAAATCATCATTTTCGGAAAATACACTTGGCCTAACGAAAAAATCAATCTCACAAATTTTTCCTTCTCAGATAACAGTGATTTCTTACCCCTACTATGGATATCAAAATTCTGACAAGCTGAGATATACACACAATAGCAATGATCACTATTAATTTCTGTTGATTTCAAATTGATTTCTGGCATTAGAAATCAGTTTCTTTCCCCTTGATATCGATGCAGAAGTTAGATTAGCGGTTAGAATAAGGGGATAGATATAGGTTAACGACTTGGATTAGGAATTAGAACAACAGAGTAGAGTGCGGCCTCAAATGAAGAGGTTAGAATAAGCAATGGAATAAGAGGTTAGAATAAGGGGATAGATTAAGGGGTTAGAATAGGGGATTAACATGAGGGATTAGAATAAGGGGATTGAATAAGGGGACAGATGAAGGGATTATAATAAGGGGTTAGATTAAGGATTTAGATTACACGGTTAGAATAAGGGGATAGATTAAGGAGTTAGAATAAAGGATTAGAATAAGGGGATAGATGAAGGGATTAATATAAGGGGTTAGATTACGCGGTTAGAATAAGGGGATAGATATAGGTTAACGACTTGGATTAGAAATTAGAACAACAGAGTAGAGTGAGGCCTCAAATGAAGAGGTTAGAATAAGCAATGGAATAAGAGGTTAGAATAAGGGGATAGATTAAGGGGTTAGAATAGGGGATTAACATGAGGGATTAGAATAAGGGGATTGAATAAGGGGACAGATGAAGGGATTATAATAAGGGGTTAGATTAAGGATTTAGATTACACGGTTAGAATAAGGGGATAGAATAAGGATATAGATTAAGGGGTTAGAATAAGAGGATAGAATAAGGTGTTAGAATAAGGGGATAGATTAAGGGATTATAATAAGGGGTTAGATTAAGGGGTTAGAGTACGCGGTTAGAATAAGGGATTAACATAAGGGGTTAGAAAAAGGGGATAGAATAAGGATTTAGATTAAGGGGTTAGAATAAGGGGATAGATTAAGGGGTTAGAATAAGGGATTAACATAAGGGGATAGAATTAGGATTTAGATTAAGGGGTTAGAATAAGGGATTAACATAAGGGGTTAGAATAAGGATTTAGAATAAGGGGGTTAGATTAAGGGATTAACATAAGGGGATAGAATTAGGATTTAGATTAAGGGGTTAGAATAAGGAGATAGAATAAAGGATTAACATAAGGGGTTAGAATAAGGGGATAGATTAAGCGGTTAGAATAAGAGGATAGAATAAGAGGATAGAATAAGGGGTTAGAATAAGGGGATAGATTAAGGGATTAGAATAAGGGGATAGAATAAGAGGATAGAATAAGGGGATAGATTAAGGGGATAGATTAAGGGATTAGAATAAGGGGATAGAATAAGAGGATAGAATAATGGGATAGAATAAGGGGATAGATTAAGGGATTAGAATAAGGGGATAGAATAAGGGTAGTGCGTAGCTGCCGGAAACCTATTGAAGATTTTCGAAGCCTCGAAAACCTTTAATAGGTTTCCGAGATCGTGAGCTTTTTTTATTGCTTTTGAAGGTTTCCGAGAGCTCGGAAACCCTTTCTCGGAAACCTATAAAGGGTTTCATATAGTGACAAACCCGGAAACCCTCTATAGGTTTCCGACAAAACCTTTTTTTTTTAGAGTGTAGAATAAGGGGATATATTAAGGAATAGAGTAAGCAGTTAGATTAAGGATTTAGAATAGGGGGTTAGATTTAGGGGATGGAATAACGGGTTAGATATAGATTAAGGAGTTAGATAACGGGTTAGAATGAGGGGATAGAATAACCGGTTAGAATAGAGCGACAGATGTAGATTAGTGGGTGGTTTTGTGGCTAGGTGCCGGAAACCTATACAAGGTTTGGCAAGTCTCGAAAACTTCCACTGAGTTTGCGGGATCCTGAGGTTTTTTCATTGCTTTGGAAGGTTTCCGAGAGCTCGGAAACCCTTTCTCGGAAACCTATAAAGGGTTTCATATAGTGACAAACCTGGAAATCTCCTATAAGATTTCGAGAAAACGTTTTTTTTTAGAGTGTAGAAAGTTCTAATAACATGTGGACTATTTGAGAATGTTCTACATTCATCTAGAGTTTTTGTAATCTCTTTAATCACCTAGCATTTACTGGGGCGTTCTAGAATATTCCAGAAATTTCCAGTGATCCTACGTCATGCACGACATGATGCATGATTGAGAATTTTCTGGACGGTTCTACCATAGGTTACAGAGGGGTATAAATAGACCCATCCCAACTAGAAACAAACCATTTTCTAAAATCAATGATATCAATGATGACTGATGCAACAGACGATTCTACGATGGATCATGAATATCACAAGTCAATGCCAACAGCACTTAACCAGCAGAATATCTCGAACTTGAACGATGCTGCTAACCAACCTCAAGTCGAAACAATGATATGATAATCCTAAGGTGAAAACATTTAGGAGATCCAAAAGAATCCAAGAACGACATGCACAAGAAACGGAACAAAGGAGAAAGCAACAACTGCAAACGGATGCAGCAAAGCATCGTTCGCAATACATGCAACAATCAGAGTAAGAAAAGCAAGAGCGACGACAAAAAATTGCATCACGAGCAAAGAAACGAAGACAACAAGAAACTGATGATGAAAGACGTGAGCGACAATCGAAGGACACTTTTTGTCATCCCCATCATCGACAACGAAGCTCATCTTTGTATGCGGCTGCATTTCGAGACGAATTTCCTCCTGAAAGTTATCATGGAAGAATGTATAATGTCGGTCAAGACTGTAATGCTCTACACTTTAAGGAAGAATGCACATCCGATAGACATGATGAATTCAAGCAGTGCTGTCACTATGGATCTATTCAACTTCCTGACCTTCTCCTATATCCAGATGAAATTAAAGCTCTTCTACAAGGCACCGATCTTGAACCAAGAAATTTTCGCGAAAACATCAGAAGTTACAATAGTGCTCTTGCATTTGCATCTATGGGGGCTCAAATTGATTTGTCACAAGGTTTTGGGCCCTACTATTTTCGCATTCATGGGCAAATCTATCACCAGATCGGTCCACTTCATCCTGATCTTGGTCAGAGAGCTCAATTTGGACAACTTTACATTTTGGACTCATCCTTAGCATTAAAAGAACGGATGGGCAATGCTGCTAATAAAAATTGCAATGAAACGACAATGATCAAACTTGGCAACATAATAAAGAGCATTGGTCCTTTTGCTGCTGCCTTGGAGATGATGCATGAAGTCGAACAAGAAGAAATAGATCGAATCAAGAGAAAGGAACGAGCACCACCTGCACTTTGAATGATTTTTGACATCAATCATGGAATTCATGATCAGCAACTCTACAATTTTCCAACAGCGAATGAAGTCGCTGCAGTTTTCGTAGGTGAAAATAGTGAAGTTCCAACATATCGACATATTGCTGTTCATCCACGTGGTCAAAATCTTCAAACTATTTCAATCTTACATCCTCATTGTGATCCAATGACCTATCCTCTTTTATTTTCTCGTGGTGATAAAGAATGACATCGAGAATTGGAAAAAATTGATCAATCACGAAATCGAAAACGAGTATTAATGCTTCAGTTTTATTGTTATCGATTGGCTATTCATCAAAATTTCAGTGCCATCCACTATGGAGGAAAATTATTCCAGCAATATATTGTCGATGCTTATGTAAAAACCGAACAAAATCGACTTTCATTCCATCGACAAAATCAAAAGGCTCTTTGAGTAAAATTATATCAAGGACTAAATGGATCATTTAGCACATGAAGCTAAAATTGAAGGTTTAAGACCTGGACATGTTATATTGCTTCCATCAGGTTTTCAAGGAAGCCCTAGAGCAATGCAACAGAATTATCAAGATGCAATGGCAATCGTCCGAAAATATGGAAAATCCGACTTATTCATCACATTTACCTGTAATCCAACATAGAGAGAAATCGAAGAACAGCTTTTTCCTGGTCAAACTCCATCGAATAGACCTGGTCTAATTACCAGAGTCTTTAAACTCAAACTTAATGAACTTATTGATGATATCTGCAAGAAACATATATTAGGACGAACGATAGCCAATGTTTTCGTAATCGAATTTCAAAAGCGTGGCTTACTACATTGTCACATGCGTATTATTTTGGCCAACGAAGATAAGCCAAAGGATGAAAACCACATTGACCATATCGTCTGCAGTGAAATACAAGATCCTGTTAAGGTTTCACAATTATATGAATGTGTGAGAAAGCATATGATTCACGAACCATGTGGAAAGTTAAACCCACATTCTTCTTGCATGGAAGATGGCAAGTGTTCAAAAGAATTTCCAAAAGAATTTCCAAATGATACTCTGGCAAATAAGGATGGATATCCACGATATTGCAGAAGAGATAATGGAATTACTACGACTATTCGCAGGTGTGAAGTTGACAATAGATGGATAGTTCCATATACTTCATATTTATTAATGAAATACAATGCTCATATTAATGTCGAAATTTGTGCAACTGTGAAAAGTATCAAATAGTTTTTTAAATACATTTACAAGGGACATGATTGTGCTAACATTAAATTACAACGACCAGTTCAAGAAGGTCCTACTGCCGCTGAAGGAACTTTGAAATGGGATGAAATTAAAGCAAATCTCGATGCAAGATATGTAAGCGCACCTGAAGCTGCATGGAGACTTTTTGAATTTCCATTACATGACTAGTCTCATGCTATTATTCGATTAGCCGTTCACCTTCCAAATCTGCAGCGGGTTTATTTTGCTGAAAGAAACAAACGACAAGCATTAGAAAGAGCCGCTACGAAAGACACAACACTTACCGCATGGTTCAAATTAAATTCGAAAAACCCAGATGCTCGACAATATCTCTACCATGATATCCCACATCACTTTGTTTTTGAACGTAATGGGACATGGAAGCGTCGACTACAAGGTGAAAACGTCATCGATCGAATGTACTCCGTCAGCCCCAGTGATGTAGAACGCTACCATCTTCGATTATTACTGTTACATACTCCTGGTGACTGTAGTTTTGAAGATCTTCAAATAGTAGAAGGCCAAGTCTGTCAAACATTGATGGAAGCTGCTAAACGATGGGACCCATTACGTGATGATACTGACTACGAAAGATGCATGGCTGAAGCCGTTATCTTCCAGATGCCACAACAGCTAAGAACACTTTTCTGTGTGATACTTCTATACTGTAGCCCGACAAAACCGATAGATCTCTGGAATTCGTTTAAAGCACATATGACCGAGGATTTCATGCAACATGTCGATGCTCAAACAGCAGAAGCAATGGCATTCTATGCAATCGAAGAAAGGCTAAAAGAACAAGGTCGAAGTTGCAATGATTTTGGTATACCATCATCATCATCTGTTCCTTATTCATTTGAACCCAAAATTATCAACAAGGAAGAAGAGCTTCGAATAGGACAAGAAATGTATGCAATGTTGAATCGAGATCAGCGTTCAGCAGTGGATGCAATTCTTGCAGTTCATCATAAACAATCAACTACTGCTGGCTCATGTTTCTTCATAGGTAGATCTGGAGGTACAGGAAAAACCTATATTTATAACACCCTGTACCATTTATTTATGGGACAAGGCGTCCATGTTATGCCAGTTGCATGGACAGAGATTGCTGCAAGTTTACTGCCTAACGGAAGAACTGTGCACAGTCGTTTCAAGCTTCCTGTACCTATCTTGAAAACATGTACATCCAGTATTCAACCAAACAGCATGGAAGACGAAGAGATCAGAAGGACAGAAGTTTTCATTTGGGACGAAGCACCAATGGCTGCATCCGACGCTCTCAAAGCAGCTGATATTTTGCTGAGAGATACAATGAATATCAATGCACCTTTCGGAGGAAAAATTATGATACTCGGTGGAGATTTTCGACAATTCTTCCAGTCATTCGATTCGCAAGCAGATCAGAATTAGTTGCAGTAAGTCTCAAAAGTTTTGACCGCTGGTCTTACTTCAAGGTAATGCATCTACGCCAGAACATGAGAACAGGATCCGGTGAAGAAGAGCTCTCAACGTGGCTGATTAAACTTGACAATGGTGAATTAACATCAAACGAATATGATGAAATAGAATTGCCTAGCTCCTGCATGTTAGACAGTAGTTTGGTCGACGAGATATTTGGTCAATACATTTCTATAGAAGATATTTCAACTTTATGCAACAGAACAATTCTCTGTCCCAAAAATGAAAATTCTCTGTTGGTAAATGAAGTAGTTCTTCAATGACTACCTGGAATAGAAAAAATGTACACAAGTGTCGATGAAGTACAATGTGAAGATGGAGATGATGTAACCAACTATCCCACAGAGTTTTGGAATAGCCTCACACCATTGGGAATGCCTCCTCATAAACTTAAACTAAAGATTGGTGCCATTGTTATGCTTCGTCGCAATCTCGATGTTTATCAAGGTCTATGTAATGGAATTCGGGTCATTGTGCGACATTTACAAAATCACACAATTGATTGTGAAGTAGCAACTGGATCTAACAAAGGAAACCGAGTTTTAAAACCAAGCATTACTTCGACACCCTCTGATCTATTTTTGCCCTTTAAATTACGTAGACATCAATTTCCTATTCGACTCTTATTTGCTATAACAATTAACAAATCACAAGGACAGACCTTTGATCGATTAGGACTACTTCTACCACAACCAGTTTTCAGCCATGGACAACTATATGTTGCGTTTTCAAGAGTTCTCTCTCTAACGTCTATCAAGGTACAAGTCATCAAAGAAGAAAAAAACAGTGAAAGACATAAAACTAAAAACATTGTTTTCAAAGAAATTTTGTAAATTTGTTGTTTCAAAATAAAATGAAAATTATGTAAATAAATTGTTTTGATAGGACGGAGATCAAGATTTTAATTATATACCTAATAATCCCTTAATCCTCACGAAAAGCTTGCTTTCGATGATAAAAAGCCATAGTGCAGTATGCACGGGTTCTCGTTAGTATATGAATAATGAGAATGGCGCCTAACTTTAGTTTCAATTATTTCAAAGCTTGAAAAAAAATCAAAGTCCTGAAAAATTTGTCTTTTTCGACCCTGTTAGTATGCGAATGGGATATCTTAAGAAAAATTGGGGAAAAAGATGCTTCGGTTCAATCTCGACGCTTTTATCTGATGCTTCAACGACGATTTTCTGACTTTCGGTTGTGAAGATCATATCGACACAAAATGCGAAAGAATCTGCATATGGTCTACCTAGAAAGAAAGAAACTAGATGGCATCTCGACAAAGTCGAGAATACGAGATAAGGTGCGAAGCACGAATACCGACTATGTCAAATAGTCAAGTTTTCGAAAAAAACGAAAAATCTATTAAAGACCGCAAGCGCAATGATGTTTCTCTTGAAATAGTTTCTGTTCCACAGAAAGCAGAGTTTTCTATCGGTCGTTATAACTGGAAAAGTTGTTTTTTCATCGACTAGCTCATTGAACTTTGACAGTAGCAAAAAAGTATCTATTGTGAGATTCATTATTGTGACAACTCTGTAAAAACCTATAAACATTCTTCTAAAGAACATTGTCAATTTATCTTTTAATTATCGAGCTTATTCATTATCTATCATAAGCTGTACTTACAGCTGTTTTGATATATGAATAAAGAGAGTGGCGCCTAACTTGAGGGTGTGGGTGTGGATGGGTGTTGGTAGGTGTGAGTGTGGGGTGTGGGTGTGGGTGTGGGTGTGAGTGTGGGTGTGGGTGGGTGTGGATAGAGAAAAGAATCACCCGCACCCGCACCCGCACCTGCACCCAATACTCACACCCCACACACTCCACATCCACACCTCACACCCAGACCGACCCTCCGCACCCATACCCTAAAAGAGGAACAGTAAATGGATTTGATAAAAATGCATGTGGTGGCGTTTAATAAAAGAATCAAAATAACAGGACTATGACTGCGAGCATGATTACTACTTACAGTGGAAAACAGAAACGGCTATGCCTTAAAAAAAATCGGCTTTTATGTTGATAGATTGATTCGTTATGTGAGAAAAGAAACAGATGATACAAATAAATCGTTTTTTCTCTTGTTAAAGGCCAAATCCTAGAGAAAATGATAATTTTGAAACAATATTTGCTTTTGCACAAAGAAAAGTAAGCAGCCAAACAGTCAGTACTTCCTCAAGGTTATCATGAGAGCGACGCAAGGAGTATCGCTCAGGTCCATAATTACGATGATCCTGAACGACCGAATACAGACCATATTTAACTCGTTTGGTAAGGACAGTATTACGGTCGTATCATGACCGGTAGTTTACGTTGAAACACACGCTGTTCACAGTAAAACCAGTCCCGTAACATGGTCGTATTCTGTCCGATACAGCAATATGTCCTAAGGTTTATGACCGTATGCTAACGTAGTCCACACTCTTTGTAAAGAAAAGTATAGCAACGCCGCACATGAAAAGGGCCTTAAATAGATCTTCTTCAGAAAAATCCTTTTTTAGGAACAAAAGAGGGCCCACAAGAAATTAAATTTATTCCGGTCTAGCAAATCACATTAATATAGAACTATCCTTTAATTTTTTTAATCCCTTCAGTCTCTTTAACCCTTTAGTCCTTTTAGTCCCTTTAATCTCTTTACTAAAGTGATTATAGGACTAAAGAATTAAAGAGACGAAAGGAACTATTGTCGGATTTTTTTAAATGCCAGCCACCATTTTTTGAATAACTCTTCACCATTGATAGCTATCGAGTTCAGATTTTAGGCATTCGATAGAGCGGCGCGGGGTGCGTCTATCCATATGAGACTCGTTAGAACCAAAGGAGTTTTTTATGGTAAATATTTAATTGATAAGAGTTTTCGTTACCAATTTTCATTAGTTTTCATAAAGACTTAGGCTTAAATTACACCAAAATGTAGCTCTGAGGCCCTGAATTTGGTTAAAATCTCAGAATTTTAACAAACTATCGTATTCAAAACAATGGCAGAAAGAGCTGAAAATTTTATCACAGATACAGTACCCTCCGAGCTTTTTTTTGGTGCAATTCAAGCCTAAGTCTCTATGAAAACTAATGAAAATTGGTAATGCAAACTCTCCTCAATTAAATATTTACCATAAAAAACTTCTTTGATCCTAATGAGTCTCATATAGATAGACGTCCCCCGCGCCGCTCTATCAAAATGGCTAAAACTTGAACTCGATAGCTATTAATGATGAAGAGTTATTCAAAAAATAGTGGCGGGTATTCTAAAAATAGTCGAATAATAGTTTTTCGTACCACATTCGACTCCAATTACTGCATGACGTACGCATGGCGTCCTTATCTCAGTTTTGCACCCTGTGCTACAAGTCCTTGAAAACCTTTGACGACGAATGCTAGATAACATATGATGCGAAAGTAATTGGACAAATGTCCACTCCTATTTCTGTTCGACAGAAGGGTGCCGAAAGAAATGTTCGTTGACCAGAATATAAAGCTTTTTCGCCTCTTTCGAATCATATATAATTTGTTTTTGGAAAGCCTTCATAAATGAAACAACGTAGCAGAAAATAGAAACACCCATAAAAAGAATCCACACTTTTTCTATAAAAGAGTCCCGGAAAATGTCGATCCTCACATCTCTTCGACAGATACCGTCTGAAACGAATATTTTTTTATCCGTTGACACCGTACATTTTTTCCTCTATCGAACAGAATATGGTTCATATTTGTTAAAGACTGATAAACGAAAAGAGACGAGAAAAAAGTGAAACACTGGCGCAATAAATTTGTGGCTTTAATATGAATTCATGAAAGCATTTTGTAGGTGACAATTAATTATTATTAACTGCCGTTTTACAAAATATTTTTAACAAGTTCATAAAAGTCAAAGTAACCACCATTTTAGAAGAGCCTTTTCGTGAGTTCATAAAAACTAAACTAATTAATTGTTGGCTAACAACATGTTTGTGACGACTTCACCTAAAAATTACAAATTTATTGTGCCAGTGTTTCTTCTTCTTTTTCTCGTTTCATTGCATTTATAAATGTATGACAAATATAATCCACAGATTGTTTGATAGAGGAAAAATTTCCTATCAACTGATAAAAAAAGCTATTAGCGCAATCCCTTGTGGGATTAAAAATGTGAAACACGATGGACCTATGGTTACTAATTAAATGGAAATCCTTTTGTTCCATTTCCTTACAACACATTTGTAGTTGACCGTATATCTGATGCTTTTACAACTACAGTTTCTCTGTCACGGTCTGTGATGGGTACCCGGGTTCTCTATCACGGTCTCTGATGGGTATGAATTTTTTCTGTCACGGTCTGCGGAGGAGGGGGGCGGAGGGAGTGGGTCCAAAATTTCTACTCTAAACACTTCAACACTCCTTTCAGATCGTGTGTCACAAAAATACTTGTTTCAGACACTATTTATTGACGAGTTATCGACGAGATATAGGAATCAATATTTCGTGCCAATTTTCTGAATTTCACAAAAAATGCGGCTTCTTTTTAAGGTGCTTCTGTTTTCTGTTACGTTATTTCATTTATGAGCGTTTTCTAAAACAAATTATATATGATTCAAAAGAGGAGAAAAAGCTCTATATTCTGGTCAACGAACATTTCTTTCAGCACCCTTCTGTCGAACAGAAATAGGGATGAACATTTGTTCAATTACTTTTGCATAATATGTCATCACTTGAACAGTTAGCGGTCCTTGATACCTCTCCACGGTATAGCCCTTGAAGAGTAATTAGAACTAGCGCAAAAGAGTAATTCAAAAGTTAAGGATACCAAATCTAAATAATTCTAGCCCATGTGATATAAACCGTTCGAAAACCGCCGGTTAATCGCAGCTTTTTCGCATTGTCGCTATAGTAGCAAGCGTAAAAATCGATCTGTTACCGCGATTAAGCGCCCAACTAACCGGAGAAATAACCGAACAGCTAACGACATAAGCGATTTTTTT